GAGCAGGGTAGAGTAGAGTAGAGCAGACTACACTAGAACAGAGAAGGGACCCCAAGGGAAGTGGAGAGAAGGGAAGGTTGGCGTAAGGTGCAAAAACCAGAGGAGTGAACTTTTTGTTTGTGGATGTTGAACACGCATTCTGATGGCCTCCGAATTAGTGACAGATCTCCAAATCGCATTCGTGATGGTGAATGCTGCTGAAGTCCCTAAATTAGATGGCTGAATCACCCCAATGTTCTGTTTGTTGAGTCTGAAGTTTTCACCCATCGCCAGGTAAGGAGCAGCCCTTGCATCTTCCACTCCGGCTCTTCCCCGCTGTCGCAGTGCCTCTTCCATGCACTCAACCACATCGCCGGGCCTGGCAGGTAGCTGCTCGAAAGTCCGAACACCAGTGATGGGATTCGGAATCCAAAGGCCACAGAAATCAGACACAAGTCTTCCGTTTCCGCAGCGCAAGGCCACGGCATACGTTTTTCACAAACATACATATATCCAAGGATCGCTCGAATGGCCATGGATTCGAAGGGTAGCTGATGAAACAAGATTAGCAATCGAACTCAGCACTGCATCACAAAAAATTGACATGCTCGTGGCTAGCAGCCGTGAACGTTTTGAAGATTTGGAGGTGCAAATCAGACCGGGAAGAACCTGTTCGTTTCATCGTGTCTTTGTGCCAGTCGCGCCATCCCTTCAAGATCTGAACCTTAGTCGGAATGATGCCAAATACCAAAAAAACATATGTTCTTTCATATTTCAACCTCCGGGAAAGCCAAAGCCATGTCGAGAAGGTCTAATCAGTCACCCACTCTTGCCAGCCAGCAGCCCCCTGAAACATACACTGACACCTGTATCGGTGCTGTTGGTACCTGACGGGTCTACGTGTCGGCCCCAATGGAATTTTTGAGATTCAAGATCAAGGAATGCATGGGCGTGGGTCAAACATGGTCAAGCTCCTGATCTATGGTGAAGCTTGTTTGACACAATCGATTAAGTCCAGGGCATTCTTTCCTGGCGCCGCATCACCCACAGTTGCATAGTATCGGCCTTCTGGCCCACCAATCTGTCGGGGATAAACGGAGCTGCTCAGGAGGACGCGTTGCCAGGATGGGGCGTTCAAGGGAGCAATTGGCAACGCTTGTAGCTTGGTAGCCTTTTGGCGATATTGGCAGTGACCATCATTCAAAATCTGCTTGTAGTCGCGGTGGATTCCCTTGACTTGAGCCACCTCGTATTGATCATCATTAAGGAACTCCTTGTAGACAACAAGTGCGTCTTCAAGTATTTGCACTGCCTGCTCTGTGGGCCCGAGAATTAAGGCATATCTTGTTTGACTTCGGGCCACATCCAGATGGTTCTGGTTGCCATAGAACTTCTCCTTCTTGCAAATGGCATCTTGAATCTCTGCACGAGCCTTCTCTTGCTCCTGCATGACCGAATACAAATTTGCCAAGCCATGCTGCGAGTAGGCCACTGAAGCTTCATTGAAAATATGCGCGTGGAGCTTTTTGAGCTCCAGTGCATCTTTCATGAAGCGAAGAGCTTTTTCGTATCGGCCGTGCCTTCGTTCTAGATTGCCGGCCAGGTGCAGCAAGTCTGCTTGAAGCGTGGAATCAATCGGGCAAAGCCGTTGGGCTGCAGCTAGGTGCTCTGCTGCCTCTTCCAAGTTGTTCTCCAAGACTTCAGAGTAGAAAGCGCGGAGCACTTTCAATCGAATAGCCACGTCAAGCATGTCCGAGCTAGCACGCCAGGCTCCTCAAAGCTGTCAAGGTTCAAGTGTGAAGCCGAAGGCTTCACAAAAACATGCAATAAGGTTGCATACGCACGCATACAGGGCACATTGTGATCACATAGAACCTATCCTAATCACTTACCTTCAAAGGTTGCAACGGTACCAATGGCACAAAGTTCTCCAGCTCTTTTAATAAGGAACAACTTTCTCTAGCTCCAGAAGACGCCACCGCTTCCGGATTGTGGGATGGAGAGTAGCACACTCAGTGGAAGTACTTATTCCCGAATGAGTAGCGAAGGGTTCTTGTTTTCGTGTGGCTTTGTGGCACTCAGGCATGAAGTTTTGCGCAGGTCTAAAATTCGCGCCGTCGCCGTGCCCATAAGATATGCTAGAAAATGCATCGTTTTGAGATGTGAAATGTAACTTTGCGTGGCAGGCCTGGGGCTTCGTGGCACTGAGGCAAGAAGTGATTCGCAACTCTCTAATCGACTCCTTTGCCGTGTCTTTAGGACATGCAACAAAGCATGACATTGTGAAGTTATGGAATGGAGATTGTGAAGTGTGGAATGCAGATTCTGGAGTGTGAAGCGTGGAGTGCGCAGTGGAGAGTGCCAAGCGTGAAGAATGTGAAGGGTGGAGGGTGGAGTGTGGAGAGCGTGAAGCGTGGAGAGTGTGAAGTGTGGTGTGTGAAGTGTGGAGCGTGGAGTGGAGAGTGTGAAGTGTGAAGTGTGTAGTGCGGAGTGTGGAATATGAAGTGGAGTGTGTGCAGTGTGGAGTGTGGAGTGTGAAGCGCGGAGTTTGAAGTGGAAAGCGGGAAGTGTGGAGTGTAAAGTGGAGAGTGTGAAGTGTGGAGAGAAGTTGTGGAGTGTGACGCGTTGAGTGTGAAGTTTGGAGTGGAGGGCGTGGAGTGTGGGGTGTGAGAATGTGGGAGTGAAGAGCAACGTTCTATTTGCGTGGCAGGGTGGCACTTACAGCACTGGCCTGGGTCTGGCGGTGCGCTTGGTGGCACTTGGCGACATCCACGCTCCCTTTGCGTGGCAGGCGTGGGGCTTGGCGACATCGACGTTCCATTTGCGTGGCAGGCGTGGCGCTCGTTGACATCCCTGCTGCTTTTGCGTGGCAGGCGCTTACAGCACTGGGCTGGGTGTGGTGGCACCCTTGGTCGCCGTTAGTCGCCCGTGGCGCCGCGGTGGGAAGCGTGGCGCTCGGCGACCTCCACGCTCCCTTTGCATTTTGCATGGCAGGCATGGCACTCGGTGACATCCCCGCTGCTTTTGCGTGGTAGGCGTGGCACTTACAGCTCTGGGTTGGCATGCGCTGCCTGTCAGGTCTTTGCAGCCATGTATTATTTAAGCATATGACATGAACCGTAGTCGTCAACAGCTCCATGTAAAAGGTTGGTTTCCGGCATAAACATGCAGCAGTGGCCCATGGTGTAGATTTTCTAGAACATGTCGCTGGCATCACAACAATGGACGTGTTGACTCAACGAACACAGATGCACCCATAGGCAATGTGCGCCAGTTTGCGGCCATGTTTTTTACGCCTGCTACCCGCGGCCTTGTGGCGTTGGACCCGGGCGATTTGATTGCATGTGAAATCGTTCCCGGTCCATGCACATGTTGGGCAAGTCTGAACCCTACCAGTAGACAAAAGTTTGCCAAGACGTATGCAATCATTTTACATTTGGAAGGACAAGCGCCGGTGCAAGACAGGATGTCTTGGTTCGGTGCCGGTAGCGGCCGAGATTTTTTCCCGAGAGCGTCTGAGCGCAGGGTTCTTCCAATAGTGGGGGTCTGTAAAACATCTTCTCATCTTTCTCATCTTCACATCCTCTCATCTTCACATCTGCTCATCTTCACATCCTCTCATCTTCACATCCTCTCATCTTCACATCTGCTCATCTTCACACCTTCCCATCTTCACATCTGCTCATCTTCACGCCTTCCCATCACATCTGCTCATCTTCACATCTGCTCTTCACATCTGCTCATCTTCACATCTTCTTATCTTCACATCTTCTCATCTTCACATCTGCTCATCTTCACACCTGCTCATCTTCACATCTGCTCATCTTCACATCTTCTCATCTTCACATCTGTTCATCTTCACATCTGCTCATCTTCACATCTGCTCATCTTCACATCTTCTTATCTTCACACCTGCTCATCTTCACATCTGCTCATCTTCACATCTGCTCATCTTCACACCTTCATCTTCACATCTGCTCATCTTCACATCTGCTCATCTTCACATCTGCTCATGTTCACATCTGCTCATCTTCACATCTTCTTATCTTCACACCTGCTCACCTTCTCTCTCATGCCTTCTTTTTATCTTTCTCTCTTAAGGCCGAGGGTGGTGCCGGCGGCGAGTCACGAAACGTCAACCCTTTCGCAGGAAATGAGGGTCGATCGGCAAAAACTGCGGTAAAATTGCGATTTGACTTGTCCCGGAGCAACCCTTTCGCACGAAATGAGGGTCGATCGGTAAAAACTGAGGTAAAACTGCGATTTGACTTGTCCTGGAGCAACCCTTTCGCACGAAATGAGGGTCGATCGGCAAAAACTGAGGTAAAAGTGCGATTTTACTTGTGCCGGAGCAACCCTTTCGCACGAAATGAGGGTCGATCGGCAAAAACTGAGGTAAAACTGCGATTTTACGTGTGCTAAAGCAACCCTTTCGCACGAAATGAGGGTCGATCGGCAAAAACTGAGGTAAAAGTGCGATTTTACTTGTCCGGAGCAACCCTTTCGCACGAAACGAGGTCGATCGGCAAAAACTGAGGTAAAATTGCGATTTGACTTGCCCCGGAGCAACCCTTTCGCACGAAATGAGGGTCGATCGGCAAAAACTGAGGTAAAATTGCGATTTGACTTGTCCTAAAGCAACCCTTTCGCACGAAATGAGGGTCGATCGGCAAAAACTGAGGTAAAAGTGCGATTTTACTTGTCCTGGAGCAACCCTTTCGCGCGAAATGAGGGTCGATCGGCAAAAACTGAGGTAAAAGTGCGATTTTACTTGTGCCGTTCTTGTCTGTGTGTAAAAGCGCCTGTGTGTAAAAAGCGTCTGTGTGTAAAAGTCTCTGTGTGTAAAAGCGTCTGTGTGTAAAAGCGTCTGTGTGTCAAAGTGTCTGTGTGTAAAAGCGTCTGTGTGTAAAAGTGTTTGTGTGTAAAAGTGTTTGTGTTCAAGTGTTTCTGTGTAAAAGCCTCTGTGTGTAAATGTGTTTGTGTGTGAAAGCGTTTGCGTGTAAAAAGCGTCTGTGTGTAGAGGTTGTCTGTGTGTAAAAGCGTCTGTGTGTCAAAGCGTTTGTGTGTAAAAGCGTCTGTGTGTAAAAGTGTTTGTATGTAAAAGCTTCTGTGTGTAAAAGTGTTTGTGTAAAAGTGTTTGTGTAAAAGTGTTTGTGTAAAAGCCTCTGTGTGTACATGTGTTTGTGTGTGACAGCGTCTGTGTGTAAAAAGCGTCTGTGTGTAAAAAGCAACGGGCTGTAAAAGCGTCTGTGTGTCAAAGGGTTTGTGTGTAAAAGCGTCTGTGCGTAAAAGTGTTTGTATGTAAAAGCTTCTGTGTGTAAAAGTGTTTGTGTTACAGTGTTTGTGTAAAAGCCTCTGTGTGTAAAAGCTTTGTGTTTAAAAGCGTCTGTGTGTAAAAAGCGTCTGTTTGTAAAAGTGTTTGCGATGCAAACTACTGTCTTGCACTTCTCACTGTCCTGTCTTGATACTCCTCTTCTCGACTGCCTATAACAGAGCTTTCATATATCGTTTCTAATATTGCGTCTCCATACTAACAAGAGAAGACCCTGCTCCCCCCTGAACTGGCCGAGCAAACATGACTGTAAGCATTTCCAGAGCTTCTTTTGGTGGCCGTGGTGCTCGTCTTTGGAGATTTTGGAGGCCTGCTGCATGTTGCCGTGTGGCAGTCATTCGATGTTTTGCAGCTAGCTTTTGGTAAAACCGCATGATTTTGCGAGTTTCAACTGCAAGCTTGTGTTCCGTTTGTTCGTGAAAGCATGAAGCTGGTCGGCGCAGCTATTGGTTCGAGATTTGTATCGCGCTTGGCGTCTATAAGTTGTCACTCTGGGTTCGCTGCAACCGGATATGTCCGAGAAGGTCCGAGAGTTGCAACAAGGCTTGACAAAGGGAGGAGTTGATCCCTTCCGGCGCCAGGTGCGCAAACTTGGGATCAATGCATTGACGGCTTTAGCTTCTGAGCTGGGGATGTCACTGTGCACATGTGGCATTCATTCGATGTTTTGCACCGCATGATTTTGCGCCAGGTGCGCAAACTTGGGATCAATGCATTGAAGGCTTTAGTTTCTGAGCTGGGGATGTCAGTGTGTGGCAGTCATTCGATGTTTTGCAGCTAGCTTTTGGTAACACCGCATGATTTTGCGCCAGGTGCGCAAACTTGGGATCAATGCATTGAAGGCTTTAGTTTCTGAGCTGGGGATGTCAGTGTGTGTCAGTGTGTAAAAGCTTCTGTGTGTACAAGCATTTGTGTGTAAAAGCAACTCCTGTGTGTAAAAGGGTCTGTGTGTAAAAGTGTCTGTGTGTAAACGTATCTGTGTGTAAACATGTCTGTGTAAAAGCTTCTGTATGTAAAAGCTTCTGTGGGTAAAAGCTTTCTGTGTAAAAGTGTCTGTGTAAAAGCTACTGTGTGTAAAAGCTTCTCACTATTTGGTCTTGATACTCCTCTTCTCGACTGCCTATAACACATCTTTCATACATCGTTTCTAAAATTGCGTCTCCATACTAACAAGAGAAGACCCTGCTCCTCTACGCTCTCGGGCCATCCGTCGTCTAGTTTTTGCTGCATACAAACTGTGTTGCACATGGTTTGCTGCAGTGGACGATGATAGTTTCAGAGATTTCCACGCTGGTGCTTTTGCTGTGTCTGCCACTTGGAAGACCCTTCCAATTGCACCACATGTTCCCACGCATGCCTTCGCAAAACAACGGGTGCAAGGAAACCCCGGCCAGTGGCTAGGTGTAGATTACATTTTGACTGATTTCGTTGGGCCAAGCATGAAATGTTGGTTGACAAGTGTGAATCATCAGTGGGCAGGTGCATCGCCGGACATGTTACGGCAATCTTGTCTGTCTTTGCTGGTTTTGTGCCACCACTCACATCAGAGCGAATTGACCTGGTATGAGAAACTTTTCTGTGAGGAGATTTGCTATGACGTTGTCAAGAGACGATGGTTCTGGGTCGTTGCTGAAACTTTGGAAACGAGTAGACCAAAGATCTCTTTCGAGCTAGCTTGCCACAAAGCAGCGCGCCTGCTCATTCGGGATTTGCAACGGCGAGTGAGTTGCAAAGCAGACGCACATGGTGTCTTTGTCCAATGGGAAAAATGGTCGTCCTATTCATTTGGGCAACACACAAAAATCTTTCATGAAAGTTGCCGGCATGCAGCAGAGCTGGGCATCGCTCATCCAGATTCACCTTTAGTGCCCCACAATTGAACCGACATGTTTCGATTTTGACCCAACGTGGGAAGAAATCATGTATGCCTTCTAAAGATTGGAGTGTCTCGATTTTGACCCAGCGTGGGAAGAAATCATGCACGCCGCAAAGAGCGTTGGCGCTGCAAAAAGAGCAATGGTGATTTTGGCCCTGTGGCCGCAGCCGAATCCATTGGTGTCGCTATGCTTGCATTATTCTGCGAGTCTTTTGTGCAACGCTGTTGTGTTCGATTCCGCTCATACTGCATTGAAACTATGTATCTTGTAGCTGAGATGACTGTGTTTTCAATGCACATATCATTTTGAACCCAACGGATCTCACTTGCACGCGTTGGTGTGCCTGCTGCTATCTCTACTCTCTACCTGTCAATGAATAGCATTGCATCAGTAGTTGCTTTGCAGCCAGGTACCCATCCAAACTTCCTCGTGGTCACTGCACCGATGAAGTGGCTTTCACCGATAGACCGTGAGTTTTCGTTTTGTCCATGCTGGCTTTGACCCAACGTGGGCAGAAGCACTTGCATCGCTTGGTTTCACGCCACTGTGCATGTGTCAACCTGTACCAAGCAGGTTGACATATTGTCGCCTGTCACCTGGTTGGCCGGTGGTGCAGGGTGACGCGGCTCGTGTGTTTGGGGCCAACGCTTGGTTCTCAACCGAGTATGACAGCAAGAGCAATGGGATGCAATGGGCTAATGCGCCTCGCTGGGCACGCGCCATCACTTCTGACGGCTACATGCGAAGGTCGTGTGGGGAAGTACAAAGCAACGTGTGTGCTTGGGCCACGTCAAGTGAGAGGCCTTGTAGCCAAACTGCATGCTTCATTTCACTTTGGGTGCATCGGCTTTGACTGCATCGACTGTCACTTGCTTCAGCGCACGTCGGTGTTTCGCCTTATGTCTGGCTCCGTGCTCCTGTACCTCGTTTTCTGGTGGTGCCGGTCGTTTTCTATTTGTATACATCAACTGTGCGCAGCGGGTTGTTAGCTTGTATGCAACATTGTGCTCTCCAATCTAAACTCAGCGGTGGTGGCTTTGACCCAAAGTGGGAAGAAGCACTGGCATCGGCTGGTTCCACGCCGCTGTGCATGTGTCCGCTGTGCTTTGTTTTTTTGAACACATTTCTGTCCGTTTCATGTCTTGCTGCGTGCTCCTGTACCAAGCAGCGCGGCATATTGCGCGCTTGGGACCGATGCTGGGTTCGGAACCAAATATAACAGCAAGGGCGATGGGCTAAATGCACTTTGCTGGGCACACATAGAGGCACTGGCCAGTCAGTTCGCATCCTTGTGATTGCTGAACGTCCCGCCCTGCCCTCAACCGTGTCGCTTGGGAGGCCGACTTTGACCCAACGTGAGAAGAAGCACGCCGGCTTTCTCACACACACACAAGTCTTTCAACGCAACTTTTTTACACACAACTCTTTTACACACAACTTTCTCACACACAACTTTTTCACACACACACACAACTCTTTCACACTCATACACAACTCTTTTTACATACAACTTTTTGAGGTTAGCGATCCTCCACCATCTCCTTTGTCTTTCCTCCTTCTCCGTAGCGCTTCAACCCTGGTTGTAACTATTGGAAGAAGTTGACTTGTGGGGTTTTGCGGTCTTTCACTTTTTGTGTCCACCTCTTTATGCATTCATTTAGCACACGCATTCGGGTTCGTGGATTCTATAAGGTTTCGTGTGGAAACTGTTAGTTTCCAGCGCGGCTAAAGACCCGCATCAAAGTTTTGACTCGGAACTGGGTCCGAGGCGCAGGCAGCAGCATGGGAGGCAAAAAACCGGACACGAAAAAAAACACAAGACAGGGTACCTTTCAGGCGCTGGCTGACAATGGCGTCATGTCCGTACTACTTCCATGTCCTATGTTGAAATCACCGTGTTGTCTTTGCCATCAACTTTGCCGGCTTGCTGAGCCACTGATCTTCAAACATCAAGAAGCAGCGCGGCTTTGAGTACTATGTTGCCCCCCTCCACCGGTTCGTTTCTTTGCAGGAAATTTATTTAGCTGCGTGGCGCTGCTGAGGGTGGCAGGTGACTGCACTATTCGAGGTGTGTCCTTCCACAACTCCCCAATTGCTCTTGCTTTGGCCGCTTGTTATGCAGTTCTAGCTATGAAAGTCAAGAAGGCCAGGTTGGCCGTCCAAACTACAAGGCAGGCTCGAGTGAAGAGGCACAAGGCGCTCCTTTGTCAGATGTAGACAACGTAGACAGAAAGCTGTTGCGGCACCTGCTCCCACATCGGGAAATCATCTTGGTAGCGAGACCGTACTCTCCTGGATCAAGACGCAGAAGCTGTTCTGCGAGATCCAAAACACGTTTTGCACTTTGCCTGTCTCTCTGCTCGTGAAGATAGAAGTCGGCAGCGCAACAAAGCAATCGCCCAAATACTAAGGGATTTTCTGCAGCACACTTGGCTGCTTCAGAGTCCATCGAGACTTCAGCATCTGGAAAGAGTGCACAAAGATGAGGCAAAAGCTGCCGATTGAACTTCACAACATCTGGCCTTTCATGGAGGCTTCGCTTCCTTAATTAAAAAAGCCGCGTACTGCAGAAAAGGCAACGCAAGAAAATAGTAAGATTCACTGGGCGGTTGATACCAAAGCAACCATCATTACAGAGAAAAACGAAGAAAAAACTAGACGATGGATGGCCCGAGAGCGTAGAGGAGCAGGGTCTTCTCTTGTTAGTATGGAGACACCATATTACAAAACACTATATTAAAGATGTGTTATAGGCAGTCGAGAAGAGGAGTATCAAGACAATATAGCAGAAGTACAAGACAATAGTTTGCATCGCAAACACTTTTACACACAGAAGCTTTTACACAGAGCAAGCTTTTACACAGAGAACCCCTTACACAGAGAAGCTTTTACAGGCAGGCGCTTTTACACAGAGACACTTTTACACACAGACGCTTTTACACACAAGGCACTTTTACACACAGACACTTTTACACACAGACACTTTTACACACAGGCGCTTTTACATACAGACAGTTTTACACACAGAAGCTTTTACACAAACGCTTTTACAAACAAAGCTTTTACCCACAGAAGCTTTTACAGACAAAAGCTTTTACACACAGACGCTTTTACACAGACGCTTTTACACACAGACACTTTTACACACAGACGCTTTTACACACAGACACTTTTAACAAAGACCCTTTTACACACAGGAGCTTTTACACACAAAAGTGTTTACACGCAGACGCTTTTACACACAAAAGCTTTTACACACAGAAGCTTTTACACATAGACGCTTTTACACACAGACACTTTTACACACAAACGCTTTTATTACACAAACACTTTTACACACAGACGCTTGCACGCACACAGAAGCTTTTACACGCAGACGCTTGTACACACAGAAGCTTTTACACACAAACGCTTTTACACACAGAGGCTTTTACACACAAACACTTTTACACAGAAACACTTTTACACACAGACACTTTTACACACAGACGGTTTTACACACAAGCGCTTTTACACACAATCACTTTTACACACAGACGCTTTTACACACAGAAGCTTTTACACACAGGCCGGCCCATGTTCACGCACTCCCAGTGAAGTCATCGTTGTCGTGGCCACCTCAGCAATTCCACAGAAGCTTTTACACACAGAAGCTTTTACACGCAGACGCTTTTACACACAGACGCTTTTACACACAGACACTTTGACACACAGACACTTTTGCACACAAAAGCTTTTACACACAAACACTTTGACACACACACAGACACCTTTGCACACAAAAGCTTTTACACACAGACGCTTGCACACACACACAGTTACACACAGACGCTTGCACGCACACAGACGCTTACACACACACACAGACGCTTACACACACACAGTTACACACAGACGCTTGCACACACACACAGACACTTTTGTACACAAAAGCTTTTACACACAGACGCTTTTACACACTAACACTTTTACACACAAACACTTTTACACACAGACGCTTTTACACACAGACGCTTTTACACACAGACGCTTTTACACACAGACGCTTTTACACACAGACGCTTTTACACACAGAGGCTTTTACACACAAACACTTTCACACACACAGACGATTTCACACAAAAAAGCTTTTACACACTTTTTGACGATCGAACCTCGTTTCGTGCGAAAGGGTTGCGCGGAGCAACTTGAACTCGCACTCTTACCTCAGTTTTTGACGATCGAACCTCATTTCGTGCGAAAGGGTTGCGGTGGACACCTTGAAATCGCACCTTTACCTCAGTTTTTGGCGATCGAACCTCATTTCGTGCGAAAGGGTTTCGCGGTACGACTTGGGAATCGCACTTTTACCTCAGTTTTTGGCGATCGAACCTCGTTTCGTGCGAAAGGGTTGCGGCGGACACCTTGAAATCGCAATTTTTCCTCAGTTTTTGACGATCGAACCTCGTTTCGTGCGAAAGGGTTGCGGCGGACACCTTCAAATCGCAATTTTTCCTCAGTTTTTGGCGATCGAACCTCGTTTCGTGCGAAAGGGTTGCGTTTCGTGCCGTCTCGTTGGCACTGCCCCTGCCCCCGCCTTCAGAAGAGAAATAGAAAAGAAGGAGAGGGCAAGAGGGGCAAGAGGGGCAAGAGGGCAAGAGGGCAAGAGGGCAAGAGGGCAAGAGGGCAAGAGGGCAAGAGGGCAAGAGGGCAAGAGGGCAAGAGGAGAAGATGTGAAGATGTGAGGATGTGAAGATGTGAAGATGAGAAGATGAGAAGATGTGAAGAAGATGTGAAGATGAGAAGATGTGAAGATGAGAAGATGTGAAGATGAGAAGATGTGAAGATGAGCAGATGTGAAGATGAGAAGATGTGAAGATGAGAAGGTGTGAAGATGAGAAGATGTGAAGATGAGAAGATGTGAAGATGAGAAGATGTGAGGATGAGAAGATGTGAAGATGAGCAGCTGTGAAGATGAGAAGATGTGAAGATGAGAAGATGTGAAGATGAGAAGATGTGAAGATGAGAAGGTGTGAAGATGAGAAGATGTGAAGATGAGAAGATGAGATGCAGACCCCCACTATTGGAAGAACCCTGCGCGCAGACGCTCTCGGGAACTCTTGTTTGCAGCTTGGTGTCAGCAGCTTGCTGAGAACCACAGCCACCGTGCGCGCTGCGTGAACGCGCTCTTCTTCTGTCATCCGAGCCTTCATGAAGTGTTGAACAACTCGGTGGACCGTAAAGTCCTCAGAAAGGCCGCTGCACATGTAACCCGGGGAGTACTAATCAATTCAGGCAAGTCATCGCCCCGCATTTTACTGATGCTTGAGAAGCAGAACTGAAAGTGACAGCTTCTATCGAACGGTGACCCGTGCCTTGCAATCAGCAGAGTCCCCATGCATGTGAGAAAGCAGTGAGCACTGCTGCAAATGTCCGACTGCTTGGCGCTGCTGCCATTCGTCGCAGCTTGGGGGGCACAACTCATCAACCAATGACCAAAGCAGTCGTTAGGGAATGACTGCAGCATCCAGCCACGAAACCGCGCGCAAGACCTGAGCAACTTGGGCGCATCTTGATTGGGGAATGGTTGAGCCATTGAAGGCCCTACCATTCTTCCAGTTTTAGGAGGGCTTCAAGCCTATTCCAATCGTTCAGCAAGGCACGCGTTCTGGCTCCTCTGAGAGTTTGGCCAAAATGATGGTCAAAGTTGCATGCACGGAGCGACTATAGCCATCCTCAACCCAAAATAGGGTGCAGTGAAAAGAGAAAGAATCACAATAAATGGAGAAAGGGATCAAATATGTACCGAACACAAATTATTCACATCCAATTCAGAAGTCACAAAAGAAGAAACAAATTGCCCAAGTCAAAGCTGTGCCCGAGATTTAAAGACGAAGGGGAACGCGAAAGGTAGGTGATCATGAAGAGGAAGCAAAAAGAATGCCTGCCGCGCAAAACGGCGGTAGATGTTGCCAAGTGACACGCCTGCCACGCAAAGGGCCGCGGCGTCACCGCGCGACCAAAGGGCCCCAAGTGTGCCACCAGAGCCATGCAGCCCAGTGCCATAAGTGCCACCTGCCACGCAAAACGACGGTAGATGTTGCCAAGTGCCACGCCTGCCACACAAAACGACGGTAGATGTCGCCAAGCGCCGCCTGCCACGCAAAGTGCCGCGGCGTCACTGCGCGACCAAGCGGCCCCAAGCGCGCCACCAGAGCCAGCCCAGTGCCATAAGTGAGACGCCTGCCACGCAAAACGGTAGTTGTTGCTAAGTGCCACGCCTGCCACGCAAAACGACGGTGGATGTCGCCAAGCGCTGCCTGCCACGGAAAGTGCCGCGGCGTCACCGCGCGACCAAGCAGCCACCAACACACCACCAGAGCCAGCCTAGTGCCATAAGTGCCACGCCTGTCACGCGAAACGAAGGTCGATGTCGCCAAGTGCCAGGCAAAACGAAGGTGAAGGTCCCCAAGTGCCACGCCTGCATGTGAGATGGCGTGTGACAAAGATGTGTGTGAAAGATGGTGTGTGTGACAAAGTTGTGTGTGAAAGATTGTGTGTGTGTGTGACAAAGTTGTGTATGAAAGATGGTGTGTGATGCGTGTGAGATGGTGTGTGACAAAGATGTGTGTGAAAGATGAGGCGGTGGAGGCGGAGGCGGACGGGACGGATTCAGAATCAAAAACAAGAACCCCACACAAATATGTGGGGGAAAATATTTCTTGCAACATGATGAAGACTGCGTAAATACCAGTGCTTTTGCTAGGTGCGGTTCAAAAATGCTGTAGATACAGTGGTTTTTGCTACCAATGGCAAAAACATCGTAAATACCGTGGAAGAGCACTGTGAGGCACCAAAAACATGGATAGTTACGTTTTTTTTGCCCCGAACGCCTTTCAAATTAGACTAAGCACAGCCAATATGACGGTTTTTTGGGGCCTGCGCGCACCAACTATACATCATCAACAATGCACAGAGAAGTGTTTTTCCGACAGAAGTTTTTTCTCACAGAGGCTTTCACGGAAAGAAGTTTTTACACACAGAAGCTCTTACACACCGATGCTTTACGCAAAGATGCTTTGCACAGCGCAGCATTGCAGATGCCCTTTACACACAGAGGCTTTTACGCACAGACGCTCTCACACACACACAAAAGCTTTTACACAGAGAAACTTGTGCACAAACAGCTTCTACACGAAGAAGTTTCCTCTCCCCCCCCAAAAAAATCAGGCAAACAGGTATTTGAGCTTGGATCTTTTTCGTTTCCTGTCGTTTCCCTTCCAGATAATGAATGCTAATGGGTGACACTGAGATATCCATGTATCTTTGTTTGTCCTTCGGATTCCTTATCAGCATTATATGAATGGCATGACGCCCGTGCTCGACCCTCTTCTACAGACAGACGACGTTGCGCACAGCAGCCTTTACGCAGAGCAGCTTTTATGCGCACATGCTCTTACAAAGAGAGGCTTGTGCGCAAAAGAGGGCGAAGAGGCTTTTACACACAGAAGCGCGCTCTTCGGCCGAACCTGCACTGTTCTTGTTTGATGGCACTTGGCGACATATACCGTCGTTTTGCGTGGCGGGCGTGGCGCTTGGCGACATCGACCTTAGTTTGGCGTGGCAAGCATGGCACTTGGTGACATCCACGATGCAAGTGAGTTCATCTCTCTATCAAATACGACTTTGTCACACACACACAACTTTGTCACGCAGAATCTTTCACATCTTTCTCCCACATGCAACTTTATCGCGCACAACTTTGTCAAACACAACTCTTTCGCACACAACTTTTTCACACATCTCTCTCTCACACACACAACTTTGTCACCCACAAGTTTGTCACACACACACAACTTTGTCACACACACACAACTTTGTCACACACAATCTGTGTCACACACACCTCTTTCGCACACAACTTTTTCACACACACACACATCTCTCTCACACATAACTTTGTCACCCACAACTTTGTCATGCACAATCTTTCACTTACATCTCTCTCTCTCTCACATGCAACTTCTCTCTCACACACACGCATCTTTGTCACACACAACTCTTTTCACACACAACTTTGTCACAGACAACTTTGTCAAACACAACTTTATACAACTTTGTCACAGGCAATCTTTCACACACAACTTTGTCACACGCAATCTTTCACACACACACACAACTCTGTCACACACAATCTTTCACACACACCTTTGTCACAAACAACTTTGTCATACACAACTCTTTCACACACACACAACTTTGTCACAGACAATCTTTCACACACAACTCTTTCACTCACAAGCTTTCACACACAACTTTCTCACACAACTCTTCACATACAACTTTAAAAATGATTGGCCCTTCACCATCTCTTTTGTCTTTTCTTCTTTCTCCTTACCGCTTCAACCACTTTTTCTGATCATTGGAAGAAGTTGACTTGTGGGGTTATCCGGTCCTTTAATTTCCATGCGAAAATCACAGCCCCCCACTGGAACCACCTTTCATGAACATATTTTCTGGGTCGGGGGCTGTGCTATTGTTCTTCTTATTTGG